ATTTGTTATTATTCAAAAAGTATAAGTCGTAGATACTTGAAAATTTTACCAGTTATTTAGATTGGCATTTTCTTTACATGATATTTTAATTTTCAAAATATTTTGACTTTTTTTGAGATATTTATAGACAATAACTGAAATGTTCAATTTTTCTGAAAATTGTTTTTGAAGTGTCCATACAATTTTTTTGGCCCTATTAAAATACTTTAAAATTCCTCATAAGTTATTTTCATAGTGATTAAAAAATTATAAGAATACATAGGCACAAGTTTTTTTTATTAGTATTTGAAGTTAAAATATTGACAATAATTCGTCAAACCCGTGATAATATTTGCAAATTATTTTGTAGTTCAAAATTCATAAAAATTTTTGCGTTTATAACTAAGGATTAAAAATACAACACTAAGTTTTCCATAAGTTTTCTTTCAAGTAGCTATAGAGAAAACTCGAAGCATCATTAAAGAAAAAAATTTAAGTGCGTTTGAATTTTAAATTTTTACGAAATAGCGTAACGATAACGATTTATCCTCAAACGAGTTTGATTACATATATTTTAAATACTGTTGTTCATTTATCGGGGGATAAGCTGTTTATAACTTTATGGATAAAATATTAGTGTTGAAATCTGAAATTTATATAAAATTAAAAATTTTAATGAACTTTATAAATTTCAAACATTAAATCAAAAAAAATAAAAGAATCTTGGAAAAATGGGAAAAAAATATTCACTAATATTATGAAAACAATATTACGAAGGCTGAACAAGTGAAGACGATGTCTCTTTACTATGGAGATAACTTATAACCATATTTAATTTTTTAATTTTTTATGTGTTTTCTTTTTTTAAGCTATATTCTCATTTTTTAATTTGCAAGCAAATATTTTTGTTTAACATAACACATACCTAATATGTATTTGATTAATATTTTACTGTGTAATGAATAATCAAACTTTATCAAATTTGTTTGTTCATTTACTTCTTCGATAACTACAAAATATGTTTGAAAAATTAGTAATGTAAATATATGAATGAAGTTTTTAAATTTAAATGTATTATTACAAACATAACTTCTAATAATATGTGTTATTTCATGCATTTTTCTTCAATAATTACAGTTATTGTTACTTATAACTTAAATAATAATCAATGAAATAAAATGCCAAATTCATCAACTAGTTTTCCCTTTCAAAAACTGTAAATTTAAATAATATCGACCTTACATAAAATAAAATACATATTTAATGTCTCAATGGAATCTTGATAACTCAGATCTGTTGGGGGTGAAAAATAAATTTGAGTTTTTGTAAATTCGACTAATGGAGATTTGAGTTATCGTGGTTCCGTTATATATACATAGTTGAGTTATTGTGTTATTAATTTAGAACTTTTGAACCACTTGACCGATTAAGGTAAAAATTATTCTAATAGATTCTTTGAGTTTTGGATTATGTTTATGGCAAATGTGTTAGCTTCTAAATTATAGATATAGGTTATTATAATAAAGATTGGCTATATTTTAAAATGTGTAGTGTTAAAATTATGCAGGCACATATCTTAAGAAGGACTTGAGATGGCTCAAAGAAGGCTAAGCCACGTGACTATTGTAATACTGTGAATGCGTTAGGTACGTATGATGATAATTTAGTGAAAGTAGCTCATATATTTTTTTGTAGAAAGAAATATTAAAATGACAATATTTAATAATATTAATAATTGTATTTAAATTCATGCATCCAAAAAATTTAGAACATGTAAATCATCATTAATACAATATAACATTTTGAATTTTACTCCTTAAATCAAAGGTATTTTAAATTTTCTATGGTTTTATGGCTTTGGCGTTGATGCACAATAGTGTTTATTAATATTTATCGACCGTCATAGGTCATAAAGCACTCCCAGTAGGCAGTAGTGCTTTAATGCTAGAAATGCCTTAATTAATAAAAATAATAATAGTAGTAATGGCTGTATGTAGTAAAATGTTCAATCAAGTTTGAAATCAAGTGACTACACCATAGATAAAGGACTACACGGACTAAGATATTATACAGGACTGGACACCAGAAGAATATTGTGGTTACGAAATGTATTACAACAGGCGGAGTTCGGGGGGGATATTTTTCTTTTAGCATTACTAGCACCGTCTTAGTGGATACTTATGAAATCAGATCATGGTGATAATGTCATATAGTTCCAAAAGTATCCACTAAGTCGGCCCTAGTAATGCTAAAAGAAAATATCTCCCCGAACACCACCTGTTGAACTACATTTCGTAGTCAACCCCCACACCCTCCAACCTTGTCGTCACCAGTCCTGTATATCTTAGTCCGTGGACCGTGGTATAGTGACTTTATAGAGATAGTGTGGCCATGTACGAGAATGTTTTTGATTGGTTTAGAGATTTCGCCGCCATTAGTTTCCTATGATAACAACACTTAAAATATTTAAAGTAGTATTTATAAGTAGCGGGTATAAAATAAAATTATTTTTAGTTTTAGTTTTAAGTTAATATATAGATAAATATTAATTTCGGATTTACCATGTTTACTCCTWATTGTTGTTTTGTTGCTTATTATTTGGTTAACCTTAAAATATTTACATAAAAGAACAAATGTTTTTCACTGTTCATGGCAGTTTGCAGTGTATTTCTTTAAAAATTATTTTTACTGTTTTACATCATCATCCCTTGTTGTGTAGCCATCGGGTGTTAAAACTCCGACAAAAAAGGGTATTTAATGAAACATTTATCTAGAGACCCTATTAGGAATAAGCTTTGGATGGCCAAAATAAAAAAAGATAAATGGACAAATATTGACAATATATATGGACAATATTTTATATTATTTGTGGCTATATAATACATAGTATTAAAAAAAAGTCTAAATTATGTAAAAATTGTTTAAATTTTGTTGGATCTAATTCAAGTATTGATTGGGAGTTTACAAAATTATCCTAATAATTTTTTAATTTAAAATTATAATATAGGTTTGTATTCTAACAACTCATTTACCTCGCCACAAGCTCTACTTAATGAGGTAAATTAAATAATTTTAAACACTTTGTATCTATCTTAAATGTTAAATCTAAAAATAATTGAATTTATTATTTAAATAATAATTTGACTATTATAAAAAATAATTGAGAGATACTTAACGGTATTGTTTGATATTATATTAAGAAAAAAATATTTTTACACAGGAGCATTATTAATTACATAAATGATTTCAAGTATCAATCTAGTTATAAATGCATTAATTTATCATTTATTCTGAATTATTGATTTTTCATTTAACATATTTTACTCTTTTGTCCTGATTTAATTTAGGACAATGATACAAGTTCTCATTTCAAATTCTAATGTTTTTATGACCATTGTCATCTAAACAAAATAGAATAATAAAAACAGTATTAAGATGACTTTTATTCAAATGTATAGTTACTAACTACTGTAGTAGTGTAGACTACTCCTTTAATGAGTTTAATCGTTTAATGTTTAATGAGTATCTTATGGCCCACTAAGAAATTTAGGAAACTAATGGCGGCTATCAGTATACCTTATCAGTATGGCCCACGATTTAAGATAGTATCTATCTATAGTACTATCTTAAATCGTGGTATGGCCACACTATCAGCGTCTGCTCCATAAAGTCGCTATACTCGACGTGACCGGTAATAATTTAAAAAACTTTATATTATAAAATGTTGGGTTGTTTAACAACCTGTAACCATATTATCACAGCCTTAATATTATTCCAGGATATTGTGATTTGTGGTAATCGCCGGTACACTACACCAGGGTTTCTCAACTTTTTTACTGTGATTACCCTCTTTTTGAATTGCAATTTTTTAACGAGCCCCCTACATGTATTTTTTTATATACTTGTATGCCAGTACAGTATTAATTTTAATATATTTTTTGTGTTTTAAATATGTAAATCATACGCAATTCTAAATAATAAGTATGCGACCCCCAGTTTGAGAAACACTGCACTACATGATTAGTTGTGACGTTGTAAACCCGTCTTTACTTTTAAGGTTAGATCCAGTATCCACGGAATACGTATTACGACTATTACGTTTCTAGACTTCATAATTCATATTTTATTCATGCAAGCATGTAACACACGTGTTGTAACTTTTAAGTTTTTACTATTTTATAATTTGAACTATTGACTTATAAGTGTTAAAAACTATTGTAGACTTCATTCAGTGATCCCCTTTTTGTTTTTTAGTAATTCAAACAAATCTTTTTGAACGAGAAATGGCTTCTGAAACATCAGAAGACAAAGAGGATTTTGTGGCAAAAGCGATTGAATTCACGAAATTATTGGCATCAAATAATCCTAAAATTAGAAGTTTTGGTGTCAAAAGAATTAAAGAACTGTTTATGAAACATTCTGGAGACACTATTGATGGTTCGTTACATTTACATTTTAATCATTTTATTTCAATATTTATTATATACCTATAAGATATTTCATACCTCTAATGGTATTAAGTAATTTGACCTACTAATGAAATGTTTATTGAATATCGACATTTTTGATAAATATTTAAGTGTCGCAAAAGAATTGGTAGTGTATATTATCATTAAAGTGTTAATCAATTTTAAAACGAGATGATAAATACTGAATGAAATTCTGGTTTAAACACCAATAAACTTTAAAAAATAAATGTTTATATTACCTTTTGAAAACTATTAAATACTAAGTAATTTCTATAAAAAAAAAATAGATAGTCATGGGACTAGTTCTTGCTATAACTATTCTTAATTCAAAAATGTATAACGATTATCCTAAACACCTACATTAAACAAGTCAGATATAAAATATYAGGTCTTAGTATTTTACATTAAAGGCGTAAGAACAGTATGTTTTTGATTAGTTTAATATTTATTTTTTATTTTTATAACTCCAATACATCATGTAAGCCATAATTAGGGCTTGAAAGTTTTAGTAGTTTCATTATCTCAATTTATAGCAGATTGAAAACTAAATTCGATTTGTATTATGTCGAGTTAAAAAAAGTATAGTTAAAAATGCATATTTTGCATATTTCATCAATTTTAAAGAAACAGTGCTTATTTCTTAATTTTCATACACATATTATGCAAATTTATTATTTTCGAAAAAGATTGATTTTTTTTCTTTCTTAAACCATAGTTATTTATTGTTATTTTTTACCTTCTATTATTAAACTATTTTACAATTCACTTAAATGTCAAATACAAACCAGCTACGTGCCATATTTTAGTTTTCAATAACTTAATATTTTTTGTATATTAATAAATAATAATTAATTAATTAATAACAATATTATATGTTTTTGAATAATGAACTTAGATTAATGGTATGAATATTCATAAAAAATTGTTTGTGTATTTCAATTTTTTTCATGCATACTTTATAATTTTACAGGTTTAGCTCTTATAACTTCCAAACCCTACTTATATTATTAAATTATCACCTATTAGGCATTACCCATTTACCGGTCACCGCCTATTAAGTAACTTAAACTTAGCCTCTCGGTTTACTTCTTTGCCACGTCACCAAGAGTAAGTACTCACTAGGGCCTGCCTACCAGTGGTGTATCCAGTGGAGGGGGGGGGTCCAAAATCCCTCCCCCATGAATCTAAGATGACAAATTAACTTTTATATGAAATACAGTTTTGCTTTAACATTTTAACATTTTTTTAAATATTGACTTGTTGAACCACCCATAAAAATTTCTTGGCTATGCCACTGCATTCTACTATCCTAATTTTAGATCAATAGCCAGAGTTGAAGCTGTGTATTGTTGATTTTACAGTTGATATTCAATACCTATTAATTATTACTTATGTTTTTTTTTAGCATTTCAATCGAATGATTATTTGATTATATGGAAAAGATTGTTTTACTATATGTGGATGTCTGATAAATCACTACAAGTACCACCTCAAGTAAATAATATTTTGTTTTTCTTAATTAAACATATGTATACATCTATCAATTTGACATAAAATGCCATATTAAATACTTAAGATTTCAGAATATTTAGGAATTATTCATGATTTTTTTATTTTTAAGCTTCATTAATTAGTAATTTAAATTTAAAATTCTATTACCTATTTTGTAGAAAAACGTTTTATATTTATAGAAAAATATTTTAAGATGCTTATATCTAGTGTATTTGTATAGCATCGTCAAAATAGTGGACACTTTTTAAATTAGTGATGCAAATATTTTATCACCTATACATGTTTATTATACATACTTATAAATTTTATAATACTATGTATGTATCATACTTCAATACAGTTTTGAAATACATTTTTCAGGAAAATGCTTTTGAAAAAATAAGTAAACTTATCCATAGTTGTACTTCTTATCAGGGTAAAATATTTTTTATGGATGCATTTTTTCTTACCATCAAAAATGATTGGATGTCAATAAGTGAGCATCGTATTGATAAATTTATGATGTTGGTGAGGCGTTGTATGAGACAATTACTATTTACCTTAGTCAATTGTGATTGGAACTTGGAATATATTAATTTATTTAATGAAGCTCTGTATAGAACCCTCAAGTCATTCACGCTTAGTCTAAGAACTCGTTTACAAGAAATTTTTTTAGAAGAACTTGCTAGAGTATGTATTTGTTTGGTTTTTTATGTACTTAATTATTAAAATTTTGCTATACATATATTTTTTTTAGGTATGTAGAAGAAAAGTGCCTTTTGATGCATTGGTCATTATTTTAAATTCATTCCTACATTTCATTTCTGAGGTCAATGATTTTATGTTAATCAAAGAAGTTAACCAAAATGTACCAAAACATCTTCTATCTCAATTTCCTGATTTAAAAATGGTAGAAACTAAGTTTCAAGCTCAGCATGAAGTGAGTATCATTAACTATTTTTATTTTACTACATTTTTTATTAGTGATATAACCCATACTGACATTTATAAAAATTAATATATTTACAAAGCTGAACAAAACAATTAAAATATCTTATTAATCTATAATGATTTAAAAATAAAATGTATAAATCAGTAAAATTAAAAAAAAAAATTGTTTTTGATTAAATTATAATAATACATTTTATCATACTTTTATAACATCAATATTTATCACTACTTAAAATAGCTAAAAATAGTTTATTAAATACATATATTTGGGGTTCCCAGAATTTTTTTTCCACGGTGCCTTTTTTTGGACCAAATATAGTCTTGCTGTGAATACCATGAAAAACAGGACAAAAAATACTTATCAATAACAAATTTTTGAAAAAAAATTCTTTACATTATGAATTATTTATTATGGGGTGTAGACCGCGATGCACAGTTTTGAAACTGCTGACATAGATATTATAAAACAAATTATTGTTTTAAATAATAATGCTAATTATATATAATATATACATAATTAACAGTGTTGGGTAGTAACACTTTACTGTAACAAAGTTACTTTTTATGTAATTTCAATACAATTATTTTCAAAAAACGAAAATGTGATATAAATTACTTTTGATAAGTAATTTCTTTACTCTATACTAGGGATCTCCCACCTTTTTTTATGACGGGCCAAATTTGATATACGCTTTGGCATTGCAGTCCAAAATCCCAAAATTTTTGGAGGAATAGATAGATTATGAAATTGAGAAATAAATAAGAATTTATTAGATTTATTTAAAAAAATGTATGTTTATTTATATATTTTTTTTTATTTTATAATTCAAAATTTGTTTTATTATGATATGAGTAAGTTACTTAGTGAGACGTTTGGAACTGCTTGATTTTAAAATGTCTTAATAGTTTGCACCAAACTTCTTGGTTCCAATTAACAGCGTAACTTGTAAATATTTGTCACTTAAGTTAGTTCTGTTCTTAGATTTGACGTATTTCATTTTTGAAAACGTCTGCTCACATAAGTATGTTGAGCTAAATTACAGTGTTGGGTAAATTACTTTTAAAAAGTAATAAGTTACTTTACTCGTTACTTAGAGAGAAATGTAATAAAGTTACTTTATTCGTTACTCTAATAAAATTGTAATGAAATTACTTTACTTTTCAAATTGATGAAAAGTAACTCATAACTTTTTCGTTACAAAAAAAAAATAAATATTTTTAAATATATTTTAACAATATTATCATTGTGCCTGGCAATAATGTTACTTGAAATACATTACCTATAGTAAATAGATATAATTTGAAAAAAAAATCAATATAATACAATATTATTATTTTATATTTATTTATGTTTTAAATTAACTTTACACAATATTGTATCTTCAAAGTTGTCACTCATACGCAACCTTTTTTTAGTACAAATGTCCCCTGAAACACAAAATAATCGCTCTACAGTAGCACTGGATAGTAAAGCTGTGTTGTATTTAATAAAAATATTCTTTACTAATGTCATTGAATTCAAAATTGTGAGATCAGCTGTATAAGGAGCTTTAAGAGGACGCCACACCCGCATGTGTTGTCTTCGTCTTTTAAGTGCGTAACATGRCAAATTTTATGCTCAGCAGTTCCAATTTAGCTCCGTTAGTTTACAACTTAGAGTAAATTGACCTCTTATAAGAATTAAAGATAACATTATTATCTAGGTTTTCACAGAGGCTTTTTATTATATTTCAATTTTAAAGCGAGTTATGAGTATTTTAAGATATACAAGYAATTCACAGTTTTAAAAATACTCATAAGTTGCTTCAAAATTGAAAAATAATAAAAACCCTCTGTGAAAACCTAGATAATAATGTTACCTTTAATTCTTATAAGAGGTCAACTAACGGAGCTAAATTGGAACTGCTGAGCATAAAATTTGCCATGTTACGCTCTTGAAAGACGAAGACAATACATTCGGGTGTGGCGTCCTCTTAATAAATATATAATATAGTATATTACTATACTACATTGGTAAACATAATAATACCCGCATTATAGACATATTTTTTTTTTTAAATTCGCAAAAGGTAGGTACTTAATAATTCGAAACTGTAACGCATTATTCAATAGAAATTACTTATCAAAAGTAATTTCCATTACATTTTCGTTACTTGGAAATAATTCTAATGAAATTATGTTACGCTTTACAAGCAAAGTAACGCATTAATTTAGTTACGTTACTACCCAACACTGGGCCTAAATATTGACATCATTTCACATGCATGTTTTTTGAGATTTGGAAATGATTCCTCAGGCAACATGGCGTAAAATTATTGGAGACTGGATTCCTTAAAATTGTTTGATATGAGTTCTATAACTTCAAGCTGGAGCTCTGTCGGTAAAGTTTCTATTTTTATGGCAAAAGGATTTTCAAAAATTTGAATACGGTCTTCTGCACTTTCAAAATCTCTAAACCACGTCTGGAACTGCTCATTTAAGTAGGCGAGAACTCCAACAGCAAAATTGGTAGGGAATTCTTCATCATTTCAAGTTTCAATTTGTTGTATGTTGCACTGTTGAGTTAGTAAATTCTGTTTTAATATTTCAAACTTGTCTGATCGTAGTTAACCAGATAACTCGTTATATGTAGATATGTGCTTACTTTTATGATGTCTACCAATATTACATTCTTTCATAACAGCAACATTTTCCTTGCAAATAACGCATAAAGCAACATTGTTTTGTTCAATGAAGAAATAGTCATAATTCTACTAGAATTTAGTAATTTAGGGTTGTACAATGTTCAATTTTAAAATGCATATTAATCATCAATGTATTTACAATTCACTTTAGAATATAACATTATTCTTTTAGTTAGTACTAAGTATTTAATGTAAAATGATAAATCAAAATATTTTCATTGCAGAAATGCAGCGTTATAAATTATTATAGTCATTTGGTATTTAGAAGAAAGGGCTAAATTATAATTTAATTAAGTTAATAATAAGTTTTATATTAGACCGAATCACGATAAATATTTTTCAATTTTAAATGAATCGGAAAATGGAAAAAATTTCTTTTAAATAAAGATCGCGTATAACTCATACGGTATGAGTAATATAAGCTTGAAGATACTTTATTGTGTCAAGTTAATTTAAAAAACAAATGAATAACAATATTGTATTCTAATTAATAATGACATAGTAAAAATGTTTTTATTTATTTATTTATTTATTTATTTAATAGGTTAGTTTATTTTGTGAGTGTGTTATACTTACCCTATATAATAATCATTTACTATTAATTAGTACTATTATTTAATAGTTATAATTAACTGATATTGTTATGACTTATGTATTATACTAACTGTAAATTTTCAAACTATATAGTTTTACTATAGATAATGTAAGTTATATTATTGCTTTACAGGATTATAATTGCTAAATTTTTTTTTTTTAATGTTTGTAACGAGAAAATAATTTAGTTCCTTTTCTATCTGGAAAGTCAAGTAATTTCATCACAATTTTATTTGAGTAATGAGTAAAGTAACTTTATTAGCTATTACATTTATTTCTAATTCGTTTAATTAAAAAGTACCTTACCCAACACTGAACTAATTATGTACTTGTATTTATTAATTTATAATATTTCAAAATGATTGTAGTTTTACATATAATATTTACATAAATAAAAGGTACATTCTGTTCCAATAATTTAAAAATTATCCTAGATATATAGTTTGGTTTACTCATTTTTAATTTTTTAATTAAAATATAAAACAGTTAGTCAAATCGTTAATTTAAATCAACCTATAGTATATTATCTATGGATGTCTACTGTCTATATTATTATAGTTTCATAATTTAATTATTTTTAATTTTTATGTTAGATGAATAAACCAGGCGAATCATATGATGACATAAAATTGGTTAAAGGTGGCATATCAGATGACAATTTGAATGGAATAAATGACGAACAATTAGATCCTGGTGCTGGAAATGTAAATGATGAAATTCCTCAAATCAAATTCAATCCTAAAGACATAGCAAAGGTTTTGAATAAATATGTAACTGAAATTGAATATATTAAAAAGTGTTTGTTGTTAATAACTAAATTAATGAAATGTTACAATGGTTTGGGAGATGGTACACTACCCTATAAGCCAGAAGACTGGAAACTAAACAATCAAGTATTAAAGCAAAAAAAGAAAAAAGATTTATCTAAAATGGTAAAAGAAAAAGTTAAAAATGTTGAAACTGTTGATTCTAAGATTAAAAAAAATGGCCGTAAAATTAATGTTTATAAACGTCTTAAAAAACTTAATAATATGGATGAAATAATATTAGAACGTGGAAAAATTGGAACATTCTTGTGGAAAGTTAGCAAGTTTGATAATGTCAATACATTAAGAGATAATTTAAATTTAAATAGATCATGGACAGTATCAGAGGAAATGAAAAACGATGACTCTAATGCTAAGTGGATTAATGACGATGAATCACCTATTCTGGTGCCTGCTGGATTTAAGGTTGAAGTTTTAGAGACTCCAAAGAAAACACCAAAGAAAAAGGTTTCAACCCCAAATTTTAAATTTTTAACTATTGCTTCATCTGTAAAACGCAAAAATAAAAGTCCAGTTTTAATGTTCAAAATCWATAATGGATCTAACAAAAAAAATATGAAAAATCAAAATCCTGTTTTTATTAAAATTGATATGCGTAATGCAGGTCATAATAATAATTGGTTGGTATCCCCAAGTGATGGAGCGTCTACGTCTCAAATAATTAATAAAAGTTCTTCATCTGATAAGATTTGTTCGCCTAATATTGTGAATATGGTTCGTAACAATAGTTGGTCGGTATCCCCAAATGATGAAGCATCTACGTCTCAAATGGTTAATAAAAGTTCTTTTTCTGATAAGATTTGTTCGCCTGATATTGTAAATATGGGTCGTAACAATAATTGGTTGGTATTTGATAATAATGATTCTGAATCTAAGAAAGTTGAAAAAAGCAACAAACCTGATGAAGTGGAAAATTATATTTCATTAACATCTGTACCAGATAAGAGTTTCAAGAGCCCTGAAAGTGCTGAAAGCCCTAAAAGTCAAATTGATGAACAAAGAGTATTGCGACATAGAACAATTATAATTTCCAATAAAAAATCCGATGCACAAGATGAAGGTTCACCTAAAAGAAAAGTGGAAGAAACTTCAGCTTCAAAAGTTTCGCAAAAACGTACGAAGACAATTGCAGGAGAAGAAATAACCATGTTACAACCTGGAGACATTTTAAACATGGCACTTAAAAAAGTGGTAAGTTAAAATAGTTTTGTATTTTATTACTTTGAATTTAATTTGATAATTGTTTTTGTTTATTGAAGCAAAGTGAGGCTTTTGAGGATGGTTTTGGATCTCTTAGAAGAAGTCCTAGGCTGTCAATTAAAACTGATGCTGCTAAGAAAATAGTTGAAAACCAGTGTTGTGGAAAATAAAGATGTTCGTTTTATTAGAATCCGATTTTCTGTAAGACATTAAATGTTAAAGAGAACGTCAGCGCAAACTATTTACTTTCTCTCTCTGGCCCACACTCTACATCGACAAAACGTATTTACGAAGAATAATTTTTTCTATTTTTCTAAGTAATCTTGAATAAAATTACCTATTACAAAAAAAATTGAGAATAATATTTGTTAGGGAATGACATCAATTTGTCTTATATTGTCTCTTAAAAATTATCTCATCTTACAACATATTTTTATTGATATTGAAAGTCGAAACTCTAATATAAAGTCAAATAACAATAAAATATAACATTGATACGTCATTCCCTCAAAAATATTATTCTCTATATTTTTTAATGTGTGATTTTGCTTTAAGATTACTTAAAAACAAAAAAAAATGATTCTGCGTAAATATGTTTTGTGTATGTTGAGCTTGAATCAGAGAGAGAAAGTAAATAGTGCGTTGACATTGATTAAATTTCCGACAGAAAAGAAAATCAATTGTTTTTAATTATAACTACTTTTTTTAGATGTATTCTGGAAAATTAATCACTAACTAAGAGTTAAAGCTGATACACTTATCTTACAGTTTCAATAGGAAGTATATTTCTCTATGATAGGCAGTAAAGATTAAAATAATTTTAAATAGTGTAATGTATAAATCATAATACATAATATTTAATATGTATTAATAATAATGTATAAGTAATGACAATAAGTACGGATTTTGAATATTGCTTTTTTTTTACTTTTTTAGTTTTTTTTTTCAATTTCAAAATCCGTATTCTAGATTAATGACTAATAACAGTAATAACAATATTAACAAATCAATTATAAATTATTATCAAAAAAAATGATTTTTATTATTAAATAAATAAAATTTAGTTTTAATGTACTTATAAATTATAATAAATAAGATGTCATTTTCTTGTGGCAGTTTATAATAAAGTGTGTAAGATTTTGCTACATTTCCAAATTACTTTATCCTATTTTAAAATTTGATTTGGGTGGGGCTGGGGAAATGTACGTTATTTAATACAGCTTTTATAATAAACTAGCTATAGCCTATAGCTTATAATAGTAGCTGATTCTGCACTGTCTTGCAAGCCACGGATTGTTCGTGTCTCCATGAAATACAAATAGGTATCTTCTGTGAATTTACCTTGGTCTAAAATTCGTTTAAATGCTTACTACGCACGATAGAAAAAGTATAAAATAAAAAAAATATATTAACAAAGATTTCTTTACAAGGGTTTAATAATTTTTTTTCCTATTGTAAATTTTCAATATCATATTAAAATAATCAAGTAGTCATAGTATAATAGTATATCCTCTATTTCTATATATTATTTTAAAAATAAAAATAATGTAAACTATACAAAAATGTATTATTTTTACTGTTTTTAATTTTATAATAATAATGTAAATTTATATTTTATAACTTTCTCCTATATTAGAGAATTGAAAATAAAGTGATCATTTCTTCAAAAGTTGTTTTACCCAAGCACTTGTAATTTCTGATATAACTGTAAATAATTTTAAACCTTTATTTATTCATAGTTGACTTTAAATATTTTTTTGAAAATATTAATATTTAATGTTATTTTTCGAATTATTGATGAGAGCATTAGGTATATATTTTTGAGCTGTAATATTTGATTTTAACAGAGAGTTAGGTTTAGGTAGGTATATTAATAATTAAAATATATAATATAAATTTATTTAGTTTTTAATACAATTAAAATACTCAATAAGAATATATATCAATATATAAATATGCCGCCCCGGACAACAGAGTATACTTTTCTCTCTAAATGCGTGCCTGATTATGTAGGTACCTTTAAAAGTTAAAACGTTGATTTTTTAAAATTTTGCTTGGAAAGATTGTTGGAGTTCTAAATATATATTATAATCAATTAATAATAAAATGTTAATGTTAGTTATTTTACTATATATACATGAAGTAAACAGCCATGCTTCGTTAGCATATAACGAAGTAGACGATTTTAAACCATAAGTGAATACAAAAAACACGAAAACAAATAATATTTTAATAGCCACATGCTATTATGCTAACATGGTAAGGTTAGTGTTTGATGGACCACTAATGACATTTTAACGACCCTTAATACTTTTACCCCACTTTCTTGAAGCATACAATTTTTACAGGATATTTGTGTAAGCAACAAAATATTCAGCAGTATCACGTCCAATTTATACCCGCGTATATGTGTCCATCCGATTTATTGTTACTCGGTGTGATCTACTATATAAATTATTACGATTTATTTTAAATTCCATAGGAATAATATTTTTTAAGAAGCGTTTATCGATTCGTGTCCGTCATGTTTTCAACTTCGAATGCCTGTTCAAATTTCGTGCGTATCGCTGTTAACAACTTTGAAGTAACGATACACGAGTGTACTGGATATTTTAATACCGCAAATATGATAGCATTCAACACTGAAAACCATGGACAGAAGATTCAATTTTTCGCCAAAGTATTTGCCAAAACGTATGGGGAAAAAATTCAAGAAACATTTTATAACGGACCATACCCAAACGCAATAGGTACATATTATCATCCAATCGTGTTTTTATATGCGTGTATAATATATTCCGAGGATCTTTACATCAACTCTGTTGCATTTATCATCAAATATTTTAACGCTTCCTGCGATCGTAAGTTACAATTTAATCGATTATTAAGACTTTGCGAACAGTCTTTCATTACGTTGGAACACAACACTCAATTAGGGCTATGGCGTATAGAACATTCCGGACTCAATTTAGTTGTAAGTGAAAATATTTGGATTAACGTCACGGAATTTAGTAAAAGCAATTTCGAAAACAAAATAATCGATTTTGAAAAACTTACATCATTCAAAAGTATTTCCAACTACATGACTGAACGTTTAGGAAAATCTCCAATACAAAATATTGATGGGTACCAAACGATTTGGAACGGTACATACTATCACCCGATACTTTTTCTGAAAATGATAGCCTTGATCAGCGGTGAATTTTATATTAAAGTATTTTGTATAGTTTTTGGAGAAAGCGCTAATCGTAATATCTTAGAAATTGACCTAGTCGAAACACTTCCACTTGAATCAATTCCATTTATCAAGATCGAATCGGTTGAGGAACCCACAAATACTTTAAATGTATCATATGTATCGTCAGATGTATTATCAAGTCAGGAGTTCAATGCAAATGGATATCAAAAACCATCTACGTCGGCACTCGTGGTACCCCAAAAAACATCAGAATTAGTAAGTATTGAATTTTTAAAAAACAAATTAGTTACAACTGATCGTTTGATGAAGAACACATCATCGTTATTGAGCGAAATGGACCAAGAACTAAATCACGTAAGAACAAAATATTCAATACTTTGGAAAAAATATCAATCATTGAAGCGGCTTTCGAATCGTATTTACAATCCAAAACAGACGATGAATATTGACATCGATAATATTGTCTGCAATATTCAAACGCTGTTGGTTGTACGGTTAAAATCCGGAACAATACACGGGTTTCRAAAACCTCTCGGAAATCTGATGAGTACTGTAACACAAAATATTCACACTATACAATCTTTCGATTATTGGTATCTCATCGATCTTTCTACATCAGATTTTAGTCGTCTCCAAGATTATATGCGCATTACATACGGGAACGGGAAATGTGATGTAGAATCTTCGGATTCAGAGTTAATTGTGAATAATCCTACAAGTAATTTCGAAGACATTAACAAAAGTATTTTAAATTTTCTAATCGATTTTCCCCAATTCACTAAATTAGATATAAACATTTTTAAAAACAAATTTGAAAAAACTCACTTCGAAATAAATACATCTATTTTGTCAACAATTATTAATAAACTATATAATTTTGTTATCAATTATTTATACATTAATGATGTATAATATGAGTATACGGCATAACTATGGTATTTTACATTCTTTTAGAACTACGCGTTTTAGAAGATCTGATTGAAATGAAAAAAAATCACATTAGTTTTAATTGTAGAAGCCCACAATTAATAAGCGTCTTGATGGGCAAGCATGGCGCCGTCCGTTTCAATCAAAACTTCAAACTCTTACACATAAATTTAATTTATCATGCTACTTAGTGATTAGTATTAATGAATATGTCTCGTATACGTCATGTCTACGGTCGTATACTCGTATGTGGATAAGTACTTATCTCAAAAAAAAAAAAAGAATCGTTTAATACGTTTAATATTTAGTGTGAATTTATGTGTATTAATTTTTTTATTTTTCTACAACAGTACAACTAAATTATTTATACAACGATTTTTTTTCGAATGTTTTGTATTAGGAGGTTAATTAATACATCACTACCTATACTATCCTCTACCTATTTAATTTTAGAAGTGTAAGATTATTAACATTTATATTATACCTATATTATATTGTTCTTATAACATGCAAAAAAATTGTACTATTGCTTATTTTTTTTTTTTTTATCAACTATCGTTTGAATTTTTTTATGTATATCATTGATATATTTTAATTATATTATAATGCTTTTTTTTTATTTTTAATACATTTCGTGGTTTTGTTTTTTTAAGAAATGACAAATTTCGTATTTGACAAAATAGAAAAAGTAGAATTTTAAACGACAAAAAGTTTGCTACTAGGTACTTTAGAGTTTATACAATATAGCTAATAAGTAATCACAGMTTTGTATAATTATTTCAACGTCTAGATAATATTCTTTCAAATAATTGATTTTGCTTAAGCTATTGCCTACTTGTAACAGCAACTATATTTTTTGAAAAATATGGAGCCTTTATGGCTACATTCATGATTTGGTTTCAAATTTGCATAAACCATAATGATTTAAATGATTGGTCTGAGCTTGGAATTTAAAGTAAACTATAACTAGTAAAAAATGTACGAAATAGACTAGAATAAACCTGAATTAGACATTAGTGATAGGTTCTTGCATAGAATTATTCTTATTTTTATATTATATGTATCTATTTATTGTGTTATTAATTATTTTTTGGTACATACATTCTGGTTGACCCTTTTAAAAGTCTAGTAAAATGGGTCCATTTAAAATTTTATATGATTACAATAAAATTGTTTGTAGGTACTTACTTTTAAAAGATAAAAAGTATTATTAATATTTAAAAACAATATGTTTCGTCATAGAAGGCAAACCTGGTAAGTTTAAAAAAATACTCATACCTATAATGTATCTAATTTTAAAATTTTACTCATTTTATAATATTACATTTCCTTGTTATTCATATAAATGAATAGCACAATGTTAAAAAATGACGTATTACCTTTGTAATGATTTATTCCAAGGCAGTTAAAAAAAAAAAAAATTGTAAACAACATATATTTTGTCGTTGATATCAAATATTTTACTCTAAGTTGAGAACTAATATTGGACATTTCAATAATATAATAATAAAGAAAGATGTATATCTAATCCCAATAGGTATAATTAATTATTTTGAAAACTTAATATATTGTATAATAATAAATAATAATCCTTGCTAGGTATACCAGTTAAGTATCAGGTAAGTAAAATATATTACCTAATTAGGTAAACCAGACCTTTCATTATACAAATTTATTCTTGGAATAACTAAGTGTCTAATATTATTTGTTTGTATGTTAGAATATTATATTATTGAGTTTATTTAAATTAATTTGTAAATATTGAAGGCAGCAGAGGAGTAGCATTGTTAAAATAGAGCCTCATTTGCTGTCAGTTAAACAAGAAAAAAAAAGTGTTTAATATTATTAACATTAAAATCCCATAATCATAGGCGTATAATGGTGGGGGATAAGGGGGCTATAGCCCCTCCCACACGCAGAAATTTGTTTAGCCCCTTGTGTAAAAGCTTACTGTTTTATACGTGATACGTCCATATGTGAAAGATCACTTTCAGTAATATGGCAAATAAAAACATGGCTACAAAATTCTGTGACTAATGATAGATTTCAAACTCTATCGTTTCTACATATTGAAAGGGACTTAGCTGATAATATTAAATCTGAAGAGGTTTTAATATATTTGCCTAAAAAAGCAGGCGTTTAAACCTTATATTATAGTAATCATTTCCTATTTAAAGTGTTTTTTTTATATATTTAATTCAAATACAAAATATGTACCTATTTGATAATAATATGATGTATAGTGTATTATTTTTTTATATTTTACTTAATCAAGTCCTTCTTCAATCCTTTTGGTATTTTATTCCTTTATATTTTTCTATAGCTATCTATATTTGTAGAATGTATGTTCTGTATCTCTATACCTAAATCATAATAGCCTTTATGCGAAGTAGTTCGCAAGAGGTTGCGGCATCATCGTTGATACCAGAAAAAGACTATAGCCGGCCCCCCTCTCCTAAAAAAAATCACGCTACGTCTATGCCCATAATTTTACCTTATTTTGTACTACTTTTTCACGAATACACCACACCAGCTTAAAAAGTTAAAAAAGATACCATACCATGTAACAGAATTATAAACGATTTGTTATTAAGAATTAAGAATTTTTTAAAAACTTCAACTTTAAACCTTAGTAAAAAATTGTATTTTTAATATTTTAACGAATGTGGATATTTGTAAAAAGTGTCTTTAGACACTAATCAAATCAGCACCTATTTTATATTTACTATGTATATGCCACACTTCGTCATTACTCAATGTTACATTAAACTCTATTTGTCTATTCAATACCTAATAATTTACGAGATAATTAACTTACTTGAAGTAAGAAAAGTAAGTTTTTTCGTATTTAGTAAAATAGCAGCTTAGCACAATCATTTCATAAATCGTGTTATCGAGTAAAAACTATCGAAGTACCCGATGGCCGATAGCATTAAATTTAAACTATCTTTTCGATTATTAATTCTATCAGCTACTTATATTCATAGAGTAAGTATTACTCTATGCTTACATTAGTAAATACTTATAGCTATAGCCTATAGAGTATAGACAGTAAGTTTATAATGAATACCATAGATGGCATGGATAATAAAAATATGGATAGGCTATGTAAAATATATTTGAGGCCAAGTTCCTGGAGGGGAAGTTTAAGGAGAGGCATTAAGGTTCTCTTATCACATTGTCAAAAACAAAACAGCTAGAATAATTAATGATTAAATATTTTAAATTTTCAACATATTATTATATAATATATTATATTATACATATTATACATATTATTATGTTCTATGTATGATGAATGATAATATTATATTATGCATTATAATTATTTAAATTTGTATAAAATAGTATTAATATACATATTTTATGTTAGAAATGTAAAATTCTTCCTTATATTAAATATTAGTAGTTTTAACTATACGAATCATAAAATATTTAAAAGTTGAAATTTAAAATGGTGCAAAGGTGTTGTGTAAGCCGAAGTAGTGCTTAAAGTGGTCTTTATTATCTATGACACCGAAAATCCTATTGGCTTTTACATACCCAAGGTATACAGTAATAATGATTATGATAATATTATTATTTATTATTGATATTATATTATAATATCCCGATAATATTATGTACATGAATATATTAATATTATTAATATGATTTGTTGTATTATAACATTTAAATACTTGTATATTTTGCTATAGAATTATGGAGTAATAATGTATCGGATTAGTTGTTATTCGGAACAGTTTGGAGTCTATGTTAATCGAAATATTTTTTTTTTTTACAATAACGTACTCGAATATAATAATAATAATATATAATAATTAATAATCGAAATATTAAACATAGTAATATTTTAATAACAACAGTGGCGTAGCACTTTTTGTTTCGGGACTTTTATCGCTTCTCGATCTCGATCCATTATCATTATTCAGACAAATGCTTATCACTTCGAGTTGATAGTACTATATGTTGTTCCTTAATCACTAGTAGTTAGTACACCGCAAGTTGTTAGTGGATCAACGATTTATATTTTAATATTAATTTCTGATAATTATAGTCTCGAATCTTGATTAATATATTATTATTATGTTTAGTGTTTACAGAGATCCGGTCAAATAATTTTATTATATTGACTTTAAGACCCCTCTCGATTATTTTGTTTTTATCGTAATAATTGTTCAGAACGGGTTTTTGATGCGAGTTCTACTTACACATTTACACAGTGTTTGAAATCATTTTGTGTGATATTATCTATTTACCTTTAGATTTATTCTACAAATTAACATAAGTTGTTATTTTGTTTTTTTGAAATGGCCAATCAACCATATGACGACATTGAACAGACGTACGTATTTACAATTATTGTTACATTTAAACTTTAAACCAAATCTTTATTTTATAGTTACATACAAAGTTTTTTCATTTATTGTCCAGAAATAGTAATCAAAACAAACAGAATAAGTAATAACAATATAACGTACAGATTCAAAAATTTACGCTTTAATCATATTTTATAACTAATCTGAATGGATTCCACATTTAGGTTCCATTATTTCTGTAATAGATTTCCATACGTGTAGAGAAATATCCTCAGAAATATCTAAACAAATTGAAATATGACTTCAAAGTATTAATGATTAATTATTATATAAATAATACCAATTAGGTAATACCCAAATAAGTGACATTTTGTTGATGCAAGCAGGTAGTTAAAACATTTTTATTCTGATTAAATAACTACTGAATCTATTTAAACAACTAATACAGTAGAATACACATTCAATACTGATGAATCTTAGGTTATAATATAGTGAGTTTGTTGAACCTTTCAGTACACCCACACTACCATGATCTCATTTTCAAAAATTATGTATAGATAACATAGTGTGATACATGTTTGTATATTATCAGTGGCGGCTCGTGATATGGTGCACAGGAGCACGCGAACCACCCAAAAAATGTATTTAAAGTTATTAGTTTCATAATAGTAACATATAATTGATTATTATGCACATTGATTGTAATATAAATATATATATAAATATATATATATATATAATAATAAAAAAGTTTTTGTTGCTTTTTATGTTAAAAAGTGTCTATAAAATATGATTAAATAATTTGCGGAGCACAAATTGTCCAAGTGATAACGCAGTAACGCACCACGGTACAATATACATTATCTATTAATTGTTACCAGTATGCTCTCAAGTCAACTAATAACTCATTAGTAATAAGTAGGGCTAGGATTTCAATGCAAAGTGCATCTTTTATAAGTTGATTGTAGACAATGCTTTCCAAGTACATTATTTGTTTCATGTAATGAGTGCTTCAAAGCTAAAATTTTGAATGTTTCGCATTATTGGGTAATTTTTATGGTTTTTAATGCATATTTGTTCAATATACTATACAAATTTAGTGTATTCATTAATATATATTTTAGTATCTATGTTTAGAATGAATATTACTGTCCTAGTTTAATAGATGTTATTAGATATTGATAACTATATGATCAATACTGTCAATAATTATGCTATAGTTATTGTGTCACAATGTCTTAATTAAAGATTCTTCTTTTTACATGTTTTTATAAATATTGAGGTGGACTCACCATATTCATTTTGATAAATATGATTCATGAATAATGAATGTATACTATAATGTTATGTAACATAATACAGATAATTCGAATAATTTTCAAAAAAATTACATTATTCATTTATGTATTTTATTGTTTGATACCACAATTTATTTGTTACCGCTTATCACTACTTATGTTACTTAGGTATAAAGTATAAACACTTAAATAGCTATGTCAAATAAATATATTTTAAATCTAATATAGAATTTACTGTTTATGTGATTTACAGCGCTGAAAAGGAATTAGATGCATTAATAGTTGCTAGTCAAATGGAGTCAAACTTTGATATAGATAAAATACTAAACGATAAGGCAAAGAAGAGAAAGTTAACTAAAACAAACGTCAAAAATCTTATCAAGGTACTTATTTGTTTTTAATTATACAATTATTTGTATGATGATATTTTTTCCATATAAAATTTAAATAAAACTAAAAAATGCTTATCCAGTATTAGTAAAAAAGCTTATCACTTTTTGGCTATTAAACTAAGTATATTGAATATATGTAGATCTATAAAACTTTAATTTTCTAACTATTTACTACCTACACAATTATTTTATCCTTATTCTGAATAAAAATTTGTTTTAAAAATGGCCTGTATTAACAAATATGTACTATATTTTTATTTCCAGAATGTAATTACAAATGTTGATGTAGCTACAATGTTGCGACAAACTTTGGATGACAATATAGATGCAAATTGTTTATATGAACCAAAATTTACAAGAGCAAAAATAAGGTACCTAAATTTTATTAATTTTATTTAAGGATCTCTAATAAGTTTGATGGTGATTATTATTAGTACATACACTTTGTATATTTTTTACTTTTCTTATAAATGTTTTTTAATATTTATACGTTTTTTAAAGACGTATACAAACCATATTAAATAACTAGGTATAACAATTAATATTATACATTTCATTTGAATATTTCAGAGAAATGTTAAATACTTACCCAACTTTTGCTCCTCAATTGTCTATAAATCAGCAACAATCAATTTTATCAGAGTGTTCATCATTAATTGAAAAAGAATTTCCTGATGATTCTGAAGATGAAGAGTATCATCCAGATGACAAAATGTTTGAGGAAGAAGAAGATGAATATGACGATGATGAATTTAAATCAAAAGAAGTTAATAAATCATTTGATACAGAAAATGATCCAGATATTAGTGATAATAAAACTGTTGTTGATAATTTAAAGGTACAAAATAATAAATATGTATGTTGTATGCACCAATCTAGCAGTGTTCAGATGTTCAGAATTTGTTTGTTTGTTTAGGAAACAATTGGAATGCGTACAAGGTCAAAGTTTCCTTTAAATGATACTCCATTAGAAATTATTGAACAAGCTTTTATACCACCTGATATTACTGAGGATATGTATGATTCAGCTTGTGAAAACGATGAATGGATGGAGTTTCTCAGTGAATTCACCAAGCCTTTAGGTATATTTAATTTATTAATTATAACTTATGGTTATTACAGATATTTGCTTTTGGAATCAAAATTCACTTATATAAACACATATTAAGTATTTACAGTAGGCATGTACTTTATTTATAGTTTTAACAAAATACATATAACTTAATACAAGTATGAAAAAATAGGTTAAGTTAGGATTGTTATTAATTGTTTAGAATGTAAATATTTATAATCCACTTATCCATTTCTATAATTTTTTATTTAGTTTTTTTTTAAATAAAAAAGTATATAATATATTTTTATTTAATAAAATAGTATATAATATATATTTATTTAAACTCACACATCATATTAATTATTTATAAATTATACTTATTTATGTGTTCATGTATAATTGTTTTATTTTAGAATCTGTTCAAAATGATGATGGTGAAGATGACCCTGAGTATAATGTTCTTGGTGATGATGATTTTACTAATGGTAATTATTAAGGAAAAAAGAGCATAGTATTATTGTGTTATACCATTATTTTATTTTAATAAAATTAATAATTAATGGTTGAATAAATTGTGATTCATGTAGTCGATAAAGAAGAATTTCGTATTGATAAATCTGTTAAGGTCACTCGTAAAGAGTATAATGATTTAATGAATGAATTGAATGAATTTACTGAAAGCTTCCTTGAATTCAATGGTGTAGAAACATTTGAAACTAATACTGATATAAAAAAAACTGAAAATGATAAAGTATTTATTTTATATTATTCAATATATATTATTTCTAATAATTTATTTTATTTATAGAATACCGTTAAACCTAAAAATGAAACTCAAATCATTCCTGCTTACACTTGTGTTCAAAATAACTATTGTGATGGAAAATCAATTGCTAATTCTTCTTTAAATAACAAAGTAATTATGTATACCATGTGTCGCAAAAAGCAGGGTCCAATATACCACTTATTACCATGTAAATATTTTTCAATTCTGTTTGCAGGACATTGAACTAGATTAATGGACCGTAAATGTCTATGATTTACAATGTTTTTAACCCATGTATCTTGCGCATGCGCAATAAAACTTACAGTTTTTTAAATGGCAACTCGTATTTTAAATATCATATTTGGGTTCATCGATTTTTTTCAAGCCATTTTGATGTATCAACTTGTGTCCTAAACCCAAAATTGACTAAGCTAGAGCTAAGTAGAATTTAAAACATTTAAAAATTCAATTTAATTAATTTTTTTTTCTAACTGTACATACTTATTTTTTCTTCTAAACACCATGAAACAAACAATCAAAATTATTATTATTATTATTAAATTGTAGCAAAATAATCGTTATTGGTCGAATGAAAATCTTCACTGGGCTGTTCCTACAAACTTCCTAATATGTTGGGGTACAAATGTATGGGTTGGTTTGATTGGTGACTTGGGGCCCATTTCTATGACGGAACTTTAACGGGAAGAAGATACTTAGATTTTTTGCGTAATGACTTGCAATCAATTCCTTGATGATTTACCTTTAAATATACGTAGGAAAATTTATTATCAGCAAGACAGGACACCTGCTCATAATGTCCGAATTGTCCAAGCATTTTTATGAGTAAGATTTTTGCGAAAATTTATTGCAACACATAGACCAGTAGAGTGGCCCCCAAGGTCACCAGATCTAACACCGTTAGAATTTTTGTGGGAGCACTTGAAAAATGTTGTGTATACTGATCCTCCAATCAACATCCAAGATTTAAAGAATAAAATTATACACGCGCATGTTACCTCCTAAACAAACACCAAATACTGGCAGCAATTACTATAGTGAATGTTTACGTCGATTTGAAGCATGCACTTTACACGATGGAGGGACTTTGGAACAGTTTATTGAATAGTTTATGTTTGTAATTTCTGTAAATTATATTGTAATAAAAATGTATAGTAATAATAAAAAAATAATAAAAATTTTGTTTCTTGAAACACATGTTTAAACTGTGTTATTTTATAATGTGTAATAATAAAATAAGATAATAATTCATAAATAGTAAATATTTAATTAGTTTAATAATAATAATTTCGATTATTTGTTTCATGGTGTTTAGAAAAAAAAAAGTTTGAAGAAAAAAAATTAATTAAATTGAATTTTTAATTGTTTTAAATTCTACTTAGCTCTAGCTTAGTCAATTTTGGGTTTAGAACACAAGTTGATACATCAAAATGGCTTGAAAAAATTGATGAACTCTATATGGTATTCAAATTGCGGGTTGCCATTTAAAAAAAATACAAGTTTTATTGCGCATGCGCAAGATACATGAGTTAAAAACATTGTAAGTCATAGAAACTTACAATCCATTAATCTAGTTAAATGTCCTGCAAACAGAATCGAAAAAAATTTACATGGTAATGAGTGGTAAAGTGGCCCCTGTTTTTGGGACACACAGTATATGTTTTTTTTTTCAATTATACAATTAAATATTTTATCATATTTAAGTTATATTGTTATAATTTTGTATTATTTTTATTTACAGAATTTAGTTAAACGTACAAATTGTATATCTAATCCAGTGTTCATTTTGAGTTGTTCTAATGGAAAATCGAGTACCAATGGCTCTACAAATAATTATGTAGAACCAATAGAAGTGGCCAGATATAACACTCATAAAGATAAGAAATTTAGTGTTTCAGAATTTAATAAAAGTCTACTTAAGATTAATGAGCATCTTGAAAAGTCTAGCTCTATACTTCCTTTACCGACATTTAAAGAGAATTTTCAGTTAGGCATTGAACAGTATAATAATAGTAATAAAGATGTTTCTCAAGATGTAAATATAAAAAGTCAAGTAAATATAATGACACAAAAACAAATTATTTTATTCAAACAACAACTCACACAACATGTTCAATTAATAACTCAAAATTACTTGTTATGCACACTGTCAAAAAAGTTCCAAAATAATTGTAGAAAATATAAAATTATGTTGGTAAGTTATTTCATTCATTTTTTATTTCATTAAGACTAATGTAAATGCTTATTAATTTTAGGAACTATTAAAAAATGTCTGTAAAGATAAAAAGTATGCACCAATTAACATAAATTTCTCATTAAACTTTATACAAGATTGGACTGAATTTAAAACTAGTGAGAATGATATTAACAGGTAATGAATTAATGTAGTAGGTTGGAACGATTATAGCCATAATTATTTTATATTCATTGTTAACAACTCAATATATGAGAATTATGGGAGGGATTTTAATTTTAAAATTATCAAGCCTGTTATTATTATTTTCAGTGACTATGTTGTACTACCATTATATGTGAAAGGGTATATGCTATATTACGATAAACCTGTGTTTATCTATCCTCAATTGTTACCGACAAGAACTTACCATCATGAATATAAAAGTTATCCTATAGGACCTTCAGAAGAAAAGTATTAAATCCTTTATTTTTTTAGCTCAGAAGACTGTACATCAGTATTCACTCTATTTGTCTCTCTTGTTCATTCTGTTGTGTAAAATATTATTTCCATATTATTTAAAAATATTGTTGGTAAATTATAAGAAAACAAGGAATTTTGTCTTGATAGAAATTATAAATCAAAACAAAATTTGTATGTATAATTATTATACATACAAATTCATTAATGTATTTTCATAAATACTATGAAACTGATAAATTATTGTGATGTAGTAATGTTTCATTTATATGAGAGACAAAGGTAGAAAATGTTGAAGTAACTGTAACATAAGCATGCAATTTGAAACTTGATATAAATATAACTAACAATCTTTTTATAGGCTTCTGGTATTAAAAATAGATTATATTTATAAGAATTTGAAAGAGAGTACTAACACTCGAGCAAAATATAAAAATAAGAATTTATCTGATTTAATGCCAATGATATTAAAAACTGTACATAAAAGATGGTTTTCAAACAGAACCTTGAGATATCTGAAACAGTTTGTAACGAAACAGAAAAATTCATTTGAAATGAATGTTATGAAGGTATGTTTATTATTATTATAAAACTAAAATTAGTTAAAATTTTTAATGATTTGTTTTAGTTTGATTTGTAACTAAGTGATTTCTTTAATTTTAATTAAAAAAATTACTAATTAGTACCATTGAGTTTTATACATATATATATCTTAAAATAATATAACATTACATTATAATATATTCAATGATATTACATGCAGTAGAATTTCCAGATTTATTTTTTGGTGAGGGAGGGTGGGTGTTAAAAAGTTTTCTCAAATTTTATCTGAAAATGATTTATGTATTTTGAATTAAATGTTGATATATTATTTACACATGAACTGAATGGAAATATTAATATAGCGTATTTATGAAATGAAAAAATTATTATGTTGATAAAAATTATAACCATTGCAAAAATATTACTAGACATTTTTCTTATGAGATTGTTTTGGTTGTTGATCAACTGTTTGAATCTTGAAAGCAATGATAAATGATTGAATTTGATAATTAGATAATTTTTATTTCAGCCTTTAGGTATTTATAATGTTTATACATTTGTTGTATGTGTGTTTCAGAATTATTTAACATACGGTGAAATTGAAGAATGTTCTTATGTAATTGACATTAAAGCTCTCTTTAAAGGAAACCGTTTATACGAGTGTGATATTCGAAAGTTTCCATCAAGTTGGAAGTCAATCAAAAATCAATTTTAAAGTTAAAAAATAGTATTTATTTTTTATTTTTTGATTATCAGTCTAGAGTAATAAGTTTTAAAGTTAACTATTATTATATTTATTATATTAAGAATTGTTTAAAATAAAGAAATATAATTGATTATAATATTATAATATTATAATATTTCTATTTCACGGAGATGAAAAAGTTAAACATTGTACATTATTTGTTTTTATTAGCTTTTTGACTGCCAAATGGCCGCCAGTAACTCAATTTAATTGCTTAGTATGTGTAAATTGTAAGGCTACACAAAATGAGTTTTTTATTTAAAAAAATCAAATTTTCCTTTTTTACTTAATATTAATGTCTTTAAACCGTGAAGGTTTAGTTGTTTGTTGATTTCAAATTTTGCAACAGGCAACTCAAGTGGTATCATTTAAATAACATAGTTTAGGTCGCTGCCAACCCAAGTGGTTTTACATTAAAAGACAACATTTGGGTCGCTGGCGGTATGTGGCAGTTAACAAGTTTTTGTTTTTCTTACAATGATTTGTTTAAAATGATCGTAGTTATTTTTTTCTACAGTTTTTTTACACAGTTTTATTTTAAATCTAAATTTCACAGATATTATATTACAACTTTACTATATTACTTCCAAATTAGAATTTATATTTCATTAAATAAGTGGATTTTTTTATGCTTTGACTATTAGTCATACATTCTAATTAGACTTGCTACATGTGGAATACAACTATAAGCTAGTTTGCATTTTAGCTATCAGACTTAAATTATTATGAATAAATAAAAAAAATTCCGTTTCTTATTTTATATGTTTTTAGATGCTATAAATAAACTGACTCATAAGTCATAATGATTTTAAAACGATAAAACCAAAGGATACCTATTACACCGGCCAATTGTCTTGAAGACTATTATATAGACTTACTATAGTTACTAGTATTATTCATGCCTATAAACTTTATATAATTATTGCATATTTATAATATATATATATACTCGTATCTACCAATAGGTAAATAGTAAATATATTTAGATATTTATAATCCACCCTACCTGTTATATAGACTGGATCCGTGCCTGATATACCTAGATTAATCACATCCGATGATCATGTAGCTTGTATTTTTAGTTGGTTTATATTGGTGATATATGGTGAGTTGCCATCTAAAACTGTCAAGCTAGTTGTCTACTTGCCTCCATGTAGAATTAGGTAGTGGTTCATAAACTTCACAAAAATATATCATATTAATGGTAACATTTATGTATTTATATATTAAATATAATATATTGTGTTATTATTATAAAACATTAAGTTAATACTACTTATCATATATTTGATTTATATAGTGTTATATAATAATGGTAAATATAATTCTTACATAGGTATATAGGTATTTGCCATCTGGTATATAGATATTTTTATATTTTTACCTATATTAAACATTGGTATTCTAACTTATTATAAGTAGATACCTAGTCTATAGAAAGAACTCCATACTAAATTACAATTGCTCAAAAACAATTTTTAATTATTTAGAACTAGGTAGGTGTGTGTGCAATTAAATAATATCAGCTTAAGGTATAGGTATATGAAACCTCTATTAATGGAAATCTCTCAATAGTGGACACTTTTAAATTCCCCGTCAAATATGTATGCACATAATAGGAGTTATAACCTCAATAGTGGACGTCCGACGTGGACACTAAAAACTGGTACCAAAATCAAGAACTGCTTTACATAAATGGACAAATTACAATGCCATGTATATTTTAGAGGTTTCACTGTATTATATACATTTATACAAAAAATAAAAAAGTTAGGTACAATTACCTACACAACTGTTAAAAATAATAATATAATGAAATAATAGTGAATAAAATAGAAATGTGATGTTACTTATATGAATATATTTATATCACTTACCTATGTCGTCAAGAGCTAAGAATTTAGCAAACATCTATCATTTTTTTCATGGTGAAGTTAATAAACAAATAAATTACAACAGAAGTAAAAAAAAAATGAAAAATTGCATTGTCTAGTTGACTATATGCTGCTATATAGAAATAGTATTTATAAATTTATAATACTTAACTTACCTAAAATTTGTAAATTTTTAACAAACTCAAAAATAATCCACACCTACTAGAGATTAGAATACTACACCATCAGCCTGCAGAAAATAAAATGTACCTACTAATCTACTGAATTAACATTTATCATTTAATCGTTACAGTGGCGTAGCCTGGAATTTTGTATGGGACAGGTTGTCTCGCAAAAAAATACGATATTTTTAATTACACTTTTTGTATCTAAAATAATGTTTGTAATAAATTAAGCATCAAATCATGTAGTTGTCTAAACATTTTTTTTCTATTTATTCTGACTTCAATATTTTAATTGCACGCTTCTTGGGGCGTGATGGTAGTTATTAGTATAACTGAAAAAGGTAAGCTCCTGAACTCGTATTATCGAAGTACCATACATTTTTGGCTACCATACAACCATACTGGCGTACTATAGGTAGCACACAAACTACGAAGCAACTCTTGCCATAAACCAAAATCACAATCTATTCGAGCCTCGCGGACGTAAAATAATGTTCGTGGATAAAGAATTCACATTAAGAGTACCCAAGTGAGTAAAATACAGTGATACACGTTTTATTATTTATTACGCATATGTGCACAGGATTACAATTACCGATTTTGTATACTTACTTACCTATGTATAGAGTATACCATATTAGTGTGTTTGTCACTTTAATGTTATTCACATTGTGAATACTACATACTCGCATTTATTAACCGCAGCTGAGTGATTAATTCACAATTAAGAGGATGTGACACCCACCTTTATTGCCTCCGTCTTAGGTAAGTGCGTAGGTAACTTGGCAAATTTTACGCTCAGTAGATCACGTTTAGCTCCGCTAGTTTAAAAATTTGAATTAATTGACCTCTTATAAAATGTTAAGGTCAGAGTAGGTACTATTTAGATGACCTCATTAGCTTTTTACTATATTTTAATTTTATAACGGGTATAACGTCCTCTTAATCATGATAATATAAGAAAGGATATAATAAAGATTATAGATTTAAGTGTTCTGATAAGTATTATTTATAATATATGTTTACTAGAAAAAAGACAATGTTTCAATATTGTTTATAGTAAATTAAAATATATGGCTATAATGGCTAAAATAAACACAGTCAATGGGGAGGGCTATAGCCCCCTCAGCCACCCCCCTGACAACGCTACTGAATCGTTTTATTTAATACAAGAAAATAATTTAGAACATAATTAGAACCAATATCGAAAGGGTATAGGTCCGCACCACCTGGTCTTACATAATATAAGTGTCTGTGTAACGGCTGGAGCACGATTGAGCACGATTACGATCAAACAATTTTTTTTTTTTACAATCCTTAGATTGGTTAGATGATTTCGATCAAACAATAGGTACCTAAAAAAAAACCCCAAAAATAACACGATTGAGAATTTGCGTTAGGTTTATTTAATTAATTTGCGCCGTAGAATATTATTATTAAAAAAGGCGGGTAAGTCGTGGATGTCGCTCTTCTGTACAGTAGATTACAAGTGGGTTACTGTAATGGATGGAATTAAATTTAAATCCAATGATATTATATCATTGTATACGAAAAACGATTCTAAGCGAAGACGRWTTATCTGTCTAGGATATATTATAGATTATTAAAAAATTTCAAATCTTAGATTTAAAAAGAAATTTTTTATGAATTTCTAGCTTAAAATAATTTGCGAATTTTCGTGATTTTTACATAGGTTGTCAAAATTCAAAATTTGAATGCTTATAAAAAAAAATTGTGACTATGTATTTATTTTATTTTTCAATTGCTATTGTAAAAATATATTAGGAGCCTTGTATTAAATTTTCAAATCTTAGAATTAAAAAGAAAAACTTTTATGAATTTCTATCTAAGATAATTTGAATATTGCCGAAATTTTTACGTATTTAGTCAAAATTTTAAGTTTAAATGCTTATAAAAAAAAATCGTGCCTATCTATTTTTAATATTTTTTAACTGATATTGTTACAATGTGTTAGAAGCCTTGTATTAAATTTTCAAGCTTTTCTACCCAACAGATTCATTTTTATCGATATTTATAGAAAAAAAAAAACTAAAAAAGTTGAAAGATTAAAATGTCAGTAAACAGCTCAAAACAAATTTAAATATCTTGAAATTTTTTCCAATAATAGGATATTTCTATATCAACATTCWGTCAATACTTCAAGTATCTGCGGTCATTTGTTTTAGAGTTCAACCAAAATAATGAAATCGCTAAAAGTGAAAATCCAATGTTGTAAAAATTTAAATTT